CACAGATAAAATCTGCTGGCAATCCTTTCAGAAATGTTATTTTTGATGTGGAATTGTATTCAATGTCTTTATCACTAATACGCATTATATAAATAGAAGATACGCTGGGACAAAATATATCACTGATGTATTTTTATTTTATTATCTAGACTCACATCCATGTGTCTGTAAATTCTTTTAATGTCCATAAACTTTGTCCTGTTAAACCTGGATCTTGGTCTTACCGCGTTTATTCCATCTCACTGTTCCTCTATTCTTATTTTACTATTACACATTCCAAGGAAAAAGTTACTTAACATAATGTTAAGTTATGAGTCACAGTAAGTACGAAATCCAGATGGAATATCTTTTTTTTATTTATTTAAAAAAAATAAACAATTGGTATCTTGAACTGTGATATTTTTATTATTATTATATGCTGTTTTTCCTCCCTTACCTCTGTCCTTTTTGTTTTGAATGGATATTAAAAATGTAGGTGAGAAAAGATTTATTTTTTAATTATGTGAAACTTAATTCTTTATTATAAACTTTATTAAGTAACCTGATTTTTCACAAAACTGTGGAAGAGTTCACTGTCACTAATAGCTTTGGAAGAACTACTCTGATTAGAACTGAAACAATAAATTTACCTTTAATACACAAATTTTTCAGAAAAACGAGCAGTAAAATTAAAAAGAAAACTGGAAATATCCTCCCTGAGATTGTTTTACAAGGTATTACATTGCCCAATTAAAGTGTGACAATGAGATTAGCCTGCTCTATCTGTCATTAATATAAACCTTGAAGAATATGTTTAATCAGTAGTAGACTTTTTTTTTTTCCTATTTCCAATGCATGAGGAAAAGCAGAAATTGTTCTCAAAACATTCTTGATGAAACCAATATTATTAGTCTATCTTTAGTGATGATTCAGATATGTTTATTTTGTAATTATCTTTCTCAGATTCCCTGCTGTCCTGTAATTTTTGGTAAACAGGCATGAAATGAAATATATTATATTATCACTTAATTATACTCTCATCAGTCCAAATTTGTGGCAAGTGGCAAAGTGCCATATAAAGCAAGACATATTATACCACTGAAGATATTCTCATTATTAATCAATTTCCAGACACTTAGTAGTAGCACAGATCCTAGCTCACACTGAATGCAAAAGCTATTCACATTGGCAAAAAATGAGTGCATCTATTACTAGACAGCAGTTCAGAGACCAAGTCTTTCCATGTCTAGATGAGACAGCCTTTTGTGAGCAGAATTTCTGAGGCAAAATCATGATAAGTTAAACTGTCTGATTACAGTTCCCTACTGCCTTCCTGGATCTGACCCAAAGTCAATTTTATTCAGCTGGAGACTGTCTATTTAGTTCAGGAGGCTCAGAATCAACTCCCCTGTAATCTACTTAGCAATGGGATTTTGTTCACATTTGCAGCAGCTGAAAATGCTGCTTTCTCACCATTTTTAAAGACACATACATTAATATGTGTTAATAAAAACTCTTCTCTCCAGGATATAGTGAGCTTGACCTAAGTTCTGCTATGCTTAGTGGATGTGGAAGTAGACATGGAAGTGGAGAAGGTGACAACACAAGCATCACCAGCTAAATGATTATAAACAATTTAGCATCTTAATTTCCATTCTTTAGGCACCTTAATTTTCACTTATTTCCCTGTGGGGTGAAAAAAATACAAAAAATAAAATAAAAATAAAAATAAATACATCTCACTCAGTCCTACAGACTATGAAATATCTTTAAACCTTGACTGCTCCTTTACCTCCTGTTGGCTTCATTGGGTGAAGGAATCTTCAACAGCAGATGCTGTCAAGCTTTCTGTGTCATCTGTGCATAGTACAAGCGAAAAGCAGACACTTAACCACTCCTAAATTGTGGTATAGTTTCCCTGTTTCTTATATATGACAAATAGGTCTATATTTAAAAGTAATATTGCACCACTGTTCTTCATGCTGTATTTATACTTGAAAGCATTCAGGGAACAGTCTTTGAGAAAGACTCTGATGTGTTTGTAAGATTGTAAACCAGATTTAATGGTTAAATGCACTATATTGCAGCAATAGCCCCACTGTGAAGAAAAACTAAAAATTAAATGCTGTATCTATCTGCTTCTAATCTTTTTGTGTACCCATTAGCTGCCATTGCATATTAATCTCCTTCCAGAATTTTCACTTACTAATTTAATTTCACAGATGTTCTCTACAAGTGATGGGATGCAGTTTTGCTTAGATTAGCATTTTCAGATACTGTGGGAAAGATTTCAGATACTGTGGTTACTGGAACCAGAGAATATAACATTGTATACCCATCACAGTATACAATGAATTGAATAGACTTTTACTTCCTTTTGGAGTACCCTCAAAGGAAATGAGTGCAGCTGTGTCTTTTCTGACTCTGCTACAGTGGGGACTTTACAAAGTACGTGCTCACTATCGGCTTCCAGACATAGAAGATAATTCACAATGTAGCTGCATGGGCCTCACAATAAAGCAGAATTTTCCCTGAGGCATAAGTCCAGCAAAAGATTTAGATGGTTCTCATGTCTAAATCTTGTGCACCTCAGCTTTAAATCATAGTGTAGCTGGAGAAAAATATCCCATATACACCACCACAGTGAGATATTTTGCCAGCTGGAGAATATCCCATTAGATGTCCTCCAAACTACTTTCTTCCTGCCTCAGAAGTTTTCAAGCCCCACGCTCTTTTCCTTTTCCCTATTTCCTTCTAGCCTCTCATCTAGCCTCTCATCTGCCTTCCCACTTCTGCACCCAGATCTCCCTTGAGGACTTGCAGCTCCCCCCTCCTGAAATGCAGCAACAAAAGAGACACCCATAAAGGCTTGTGTATGTTTGTCCTTTTTCTTCATTTCTGTTGTTTTTTCAGTTCACCCTCTATGTAGCATTGCTCCTTGAGAAGAGTGAAATTAATATAAGTAATTATTTAATCCAGCATGAAGATCTGGAAATGTGTGTAAACATCCCATTTGCAGTGCATGTTATGAAGAGAAACTCATCTTGATGTTCTGTTTTGGCACCATATGATGCAATGGCAACATATGTGGAACAGTATAGTGCACCACTGTCCTCCTAAATCTTATGTTGTGCCTGAGAAATATCTGAACGAAGATACAAAGAGAAACCCAATTCAAACATCTTGGAATTCAGGAAAAAAAAATAAATAAAAATAAAATGGAATTTCACCCTGGAGAGGATGGAACAGGTACTTGCTGCTCTAAGGTGGAGCAGAAGGGAGGCAAGTGATAATGAGGCGTATTAGTGTAACCCCGTGTTCTCCTTCTACTCCTTCAGCAGCTGAAGCACCCGGCAAAATTTTCCAGCCCAGAGTAGATGGAGTGACTATGGAGTTCTTGCATTCAGCAGTGATTTACAGTTCTCAGTCCTGCATACTTTGACCATGTTAATAGTACCTGTAAGAAAAAGGGTTTCTCACTAGAATTTCAAAATGCTTTGTTCCCAGTTAGAAAGATGGTATAACAAAAGGGAATAGTCTTGAATAAAAATGGGTAAAATTGTTATGGGTCTTTTCTGTTTCTGACAGAAAAAGTAGTTTCCTGAAAAATCATATACAATTATCTGAAAACTTTTCTTCCAAGGAAATCTAGCTCATTATATATTTATATATTTCAACAATATTCCCTTTAATAGTTTAAGTGCTGACTTCTGAGACTTCTACCTCCTCTTAGCGGATAGATCTGTCATTGCTTTGAGAAGCAACACAAACAGACAGGCTTCAGTTTTCCCATGTGAGCATTGCATAATCACAAAGAGGTTTCTTTTCCTGCTTGGCGTTTCTGAAAATGAATTTATCAGCCATCCTGCATGGACAATGATACCAGCAAATTCCGAGGAAGTTCTGGTTAAACTCACACTGCGTGGGATAAGAAAACTACAGTGACATCACTTAACCAACACACTAAAACATGGAAGACAGTATATTCCTGGAAAACAAAGACTGAAATTGAAATGTGGGCAGGCAGAGGCAAAGTAAAAAAAAAAAAAAAAAAAAAAAAAAAAAAAAAAAAAAAAAGTTCATTTAAAAAATCTTTTAAAAATCTTTAAAGTGACATAAACCAGAAGCATATATATAGATTTCAGAGTTCTCTGCTAGAGGTAGATGTTCAGAACTAGACATTTCTACAGACTTTTTAAAACCTAATTAATACACTAAATTTATCTTCTTTTAGAGAGTTCTGATATGACAAATCAGATACAAAAATTAAGATCCTGCAGATACTTGGGTTTTATTTAGCTAAACCTACAAAAAGTTATCCCTAATATATTCTGGTATCTTGATTAGAAAAGCAGACCTGGCTCCTTCTCATTTACTGAAATATCTTGGCTGTCCACATTCCTTTGGGGGCATTAAATGACCTATCTTTGTGGGTCCTAGAGGAAAGACCAAGGCAGATCAAACCCATGATCATAGGAGACTATTCAGCACCTCAGAGAGGTACTGCTCTTCTTCATCACAGAATCTGAACTCAGCAAGTCAGATTTCACAAAACAGATACAAAAGTTCCCACATTTTCAGCTCCTTGTACATCCCCTCTGTGCAACCCCAAACATTTAGAGAGAAACTCAGAGAGGTAGTTTGAAAATTCCACAGCAAGGTATCATGCTACCCATCAGCTGCTTCTCAGCACAGGCATGAGCAAGGGTAGCTGTCAAGAAACAAACCTATGTCTAACTTGTTTTTTCTACGTATACCCTGCTAAAACGACACAGGGACAGAAAAATTCGAGCATTGGACCCCTGTATGCCCACACAACTTTTCCATCCCTAATTCTGCTTTTGTCTCCAAGACACAAGTGCTTTTGTCTGCCCAAGCACAAGCAGAACATTTCCACAAAGCTGTATTGACAAGACTGTAACAAGTTTGTCTCCCTCCTACTTCATCAGTCTCTGCACCCTTTGCACAGGTCCCACAGTCCCATGAACTTTCATACCACAACCAAGAGCATACACATTTACCTTCCTTCCTGCCATAAAAAGACCACAGCAGTGGGCTGCAACATCATCATCACATGGCTTTAAACACTTTGAGCCTAAAGAAAAAAGAACAAAACATCAATATGCAGTTCACATAGTGTCCTGAGAAAACATCATAGGATGAATGCAGCTGGTTTAAATTACTCAACCTCAAGACCAGAGAACTGTCCACAGTCCTCTTTACTGAGCAGAGGGAAGATCAGTAGGTCTGTTTTGATAGGTGCGCTCTACTACAGGTTTGGGTGACTCTGTTTAGCTCTTGGCTGGCTGAACAAGCCTCAGCTCAGTAAAATAACTTTATTTTTCATAGGAGGGGCAGCTTTTATAGCATAAGGAGAACACATTGATATAGAGTTGGACAGAAAAAAAAAAAATCCAAATTTTATTTCCAAAAATTAATTTTTTTTTTTTTAAAAGGCTGTTTAAATAATATATGATCCCATATGAGTGTCACATATTAGAAACCAAACAAGAAATTAAATGGGTGAAAAGAGCCATCTAATATTTATCAGATTCAAAGTTAAATTCATACATGTGAACACCCTATTCCCATTTGCCAAAGAGAGAGCTGGGAAGGCAGGAGATCTTTCAGTATCTGGTTTTAGATTGCAGCTGCTTTATTTAAGCATTAAGTTCCTGGGATGGAGATAGCACAAAGGGGACTCCAACAAGATGTAGCTACTGAACAATACCAAGGAAATAAGGAGGATAGCATGGACACAAGATTTTTTTTTCCTTGAATATTCTTAGAAAGAATAAAAATGCCTTTAGTTTTTCTTTCCATGTGTATAGATATAATCTGTCTCATCATATTGCAACATATGATCTTGTCCTATAAAGATTATAGTCACTAAGTCTTGCTTTAAAGTTTTCCATTTCTTAAGAATTGTGCAAATTTCCTTGAGCTCCTGAACTTCAATATTTCCAAAAGGTAAATATGAATATGTAAATTATGATTGATCCTAAATGGGTGTCCCACACTGGAAACCAAAGAAGAAATTAAATAAGTGAAAAGGGAAAGATAGAATTTGTCAGGAAACTCAATCAAAATTTGCAAGTATCCCTTGGAGTTCTTGTGAAATAAATCAATACAAGTTCTCTATTTCTTCCACTCTATTTAAGTCAAGGTGTTCTGTGGCACTGAAGATATTCAAAAGATGGAATAAGCTTCCAAACCTGTAAAGAAAGAAGTGGGGTTTTCTAAAGAAAATTGTTAAATATAATTACTGAGCTCAAAGGTCTAGTGAGAATTCTTGAAAGGAAGGTTTCTTTCAGTGTTTCAATCATAGACAAGTTATTTGCAGAAATAACAAATTAGTGGAACTGTTAACATGATGAGATCAGGAAAGAAACAGTTTTGGTCCTCAAAATGAAAACATTGCTTTATTCAAATCAAAAATATATCTAGAAGTTACAGCCACTTTTTAACAGAGTGGCAGCCAATTCCTCCAGTTTTCATGCACTGTTTGTTCATATTTCTGTTCCTTATGAAATTCATCCTTCTTGTGCAGAGTCAGCACAAAGATCAGGGATATTCAGTGCTAAGGTGACATAGATGGTCATCCCCTTGTGGATGCAATATTTGCCATGGGCCTTCTAACAAGCACTTGGGTCATGTGCTAGATCTCCGCTCTAAGGCAGTTGCATTACAACTAACCGCTAACTAAAATACTCATAAATCTCACACTGGAAGAGTGTTTCTCTAATCTGAAACATCTGCTCCTGTATGGACTGTCTGTGATTCCAATTCAAACTCCTGACTTAGCTAAATGTGTGCTGTATTCATAAGTAATAGGATTTTGTTTTCTGCTTATTTATGTTTTTAAAGAAATACAAAGAATCCAAAATCTTCCACTTGATTGCACAAGCATTCTGCCAAATGATGCTAAAAGGAGAAAGGATAATGTATGAATCTGGAAGCTAGAAGCCCTGTTGGATAAGCTTAGAATCAGTTGGATAGGATTTAACATTGCAGTGTTTTATTTTTCCCCTTACTGGCTATGAGAAGTTGGAAAACATGTAGTTGTTTGGTCTCCTATGGCAGAGGATTCATACTTCAGCTTTTGTTAACCAAAATGGTCCAACAGGATAGCAGAAATCAAGTCATTTATTTAACCAGAAGCACATGGTTCATCCACATGCCTGTGACTCAGAGGACCCACTATGTCACAGAAGCAGTACTTATATTTGACAAGTTGGTGAGTTTGGAGTACAGGGAAACTTGGCAGAAACATGATGACTGGCATATTTAGTTTTCTGAAGGACTATATCGTTTAAAAAGTGTTGTTATATCTTCACCAGAAGTTTCAAATTGTGTTTTAATATCTTTGAACCTGATCATGTGCTACTGAGAGCTCTTTCCCATTTGTACTGGTGGCTGGATCCCAAAACATTCATTTTCACTTGCTATTCCTTCTAGACCAATCAGATATAGCTCCTTCCCACAATTCAGCTGAAAGCAGTAGGAGTTTTATGGGAGCAAAGACAGAACAAGAACTTTAGGGTAAACTTTTACAACTGGTATAGAAGCCATAAATGCTGGACCTTGCAAAGTATTTTCCACAGTGTAGCATGCAAGGACTCAGCACAAGGCACGGTGCTTTGGCTCTTAGTGTCTATACAATAAAGCAAGGACTTTTAAAAAGTCGTTGACTCCATGAGAACTTTCCCCTGGCTTCAAGTCAGACAGCTTAAGATCAAGGTCACAAGTTTTGCCACTGACACAACACAGCCCTGTTCTGCTCTGTTTCTCACCTTAATTAAACCTAATAACTATAGATCTAAACCTTTTTGTCTGCCAATCCACTAAGCTCCCAGCCTCCTGCAGGCTTCTTCTCGGGTACTTCACAGAGATCTGAGGACTCTGAAGTGATGTGAAGCCTCCTCTCCCAGCCAATGCTCTGAACAGACCCTACATCATCTACAGAGTCCAGCAATTAATTCTGTGTCACAATAACAGACCTAATTTCTGATGTTCCTGGACCAGCTTGGAGCAGTTGTTATCCAGCAACCAGATGTCTCTCTTTAAGCACATTACTATTTATTAAGAACAAAAACACCTGAGGGAAAAATAATGAAAACAATAAGACATGTATGTATGTGACTAACTTACCTGACCTTTTATGTGGACAACCCAGCAGACTGGTCACACAGTCATACCAGTCTGCTCTGGAGCTGAGTCTGGTTTCCTCCATCAGAGCTGTTGTTTTATACAGTATCACATCTTTTGTCTCTTTAACCCCTTTGAATCAAGGAAAAGCAGACTGTGCTTCTTCCACCATAGAGTGGAACTTCAAAAGATTCATTTCAGGAGCAGAGATTTCCATTAATAACAGTCAGGGGACATTTCTTATCACATGCTTTCAGCTAGACATGCAATTATTTCTTACATTAAAACAGACACTGAATTTTATTTTATAAATCTATACTTCGTTAGCAGTCTTACAATACTTTCCTATCACTCCTACTCAATTAATGAAGTAAGCTAATGATATAGGTAAGACAGTTCGGTATTCAGTATACCAAACCAAAATTTAGATTAGAAACAGACCAAAGAAATTCCAAGGATCTGAGATGGATTTTCTCCCAGAAATATATCTTTGCTTTTTGTCAAAGGAGCTCCTTCTGGTTTTGTACTTATTTGTTGTATTTAAACACCATTAGGACAGGGTATGCCAGAATCCTAAGTTGCTTAGATAGTACTAAAGATGACTTTTCATATGACAAAATCTTGCATTAAAAACATAACTACTAACATAGGTTAGTAGTCTGTCACACTTGCAAGTGGTCTACTACTTATCTTAGAAAGTTTGAAAAGTCGTTTTAATCTGGAAGGATTTTATCTTCTAAAAAGCAGTTTCTTGCTTTGTGTCTAGCATTAACACGCTCATATATCGTATGCAACTAAAAGGCCTAGACTTCAGTAAAAAAAAAAAGAAAAAAAAAATTGATTCATCTGAGAAAAAAACTTAAATCCCATCCATCAAAATGAAAAAGGCAATTTTCAAGATGGATATTCCATAACCACTTTGGGAAATCAAATGTTTGTGTGCCAGAAACTTAAAACTTAATATCATTTGTGGTCTCTATGTTATTTCAATAATCTTTTGGGCAAGATCTACAGTCTTGGGAGCCCATAATGAACTGTAAAACAAAATATATAAAGGCAGGCTAATTGAAGTTATGAAATAAAATTGGAGCTTCTGTTTCTAGCGTGATCAAAAAGTTTTGTTGGAAAATTACTCTTTCACAATTCACTTGTTAGAAACCAATTTAATAATTCTTAGACACTGAATTACTAAAACAATCAGTATAATGATTAGAATAAAACAACTCCTAATATTGAATGCAAGTTAAAAATATATATATATTTTACTTTTTAAGATGTTGGATGTCAGGACGTTTCAGAGTTGCCTGCGGTTAGAAAGAAATACTGATCTCTTTATGCAGACTTGCTGATTTACAGTGCAGCCCATACAAAGCTTTGCAAGTACAATTTTTAACAATACTTTCCAAATCAGTCTTTTATCTGTGGCCCAACATTTGGTTGTTTCCTTTCTTCCGTTTCCTCCCAAAACTATATTGCTTCTTTACTATCCTTTCCTCCCGGCTTTCTAGGCCCATTAACACATACTCAGGAAATATATATTTGGTTGAGGATCTGGTTTAGTGCCCTGAAGATGTATTGTGACAAATATATTAAGAATCTGGTACTGCCACAGAAGGAATCAAAGTGAAACTGCCTGTTACTTATGTCTTGGTGTCAGCCCTTGTCTTTTTCCAGCTAGTTCATAAATTGGGTCAGGGAACTTGCTGAACTGAAAAAATCTATGAAATATTATTATTACTCATTGTTCTAAATGTTTTTTTGCTGCGTGGCAGCACAAAGATCATCCCACCATTGGAGTGGTGCAGAGATGGAGAATACTGCCATACTGATGGCAGGAGGAGTCTGGACAATGTCTTTTGGTGGACATGTCATTTTACAGGATCTTAAGCATCCATCTGCAATTTTAGTCCAAGATGAAGAGGTGTGTAAACTTCAAATTTGTCTTGC